CCTAGAGGAACAATAAATCTTGATGTTCACTGAAATATGAAGTCACTATGATTTTCAGAAGCGTTGAACCTTGTTCTAGCTTACTCTGCAGGTGCTGATCAGAAAAGCTACCTGAAGTTTAGGTACGAATTTCTTTTAATGAGCCACATCAGTTGAGCAAGTGCACTTGTTTCTATATGTCCCTTGCAAAGTTGGTATTGTGCCTTACCTACATTTAAATAAATAAGTTACAGAACATTATAAATCACACCAAAGCTCTCCGGTGGTTAGATGTTTGGACTTTTTAAAATGCAAGTATCAGCTATGAAAAGAGGAAATAAATAAATGTTTGTATATCTTGTTGAAGTAACTGGTGATGTAAAGGTACTTACATTACAGCAAGCACTCAGGGTTTACATTGGAGTGAATGGAGGCTCGCTTATATTTAGGGCAAACCTATAGCAGTTTGTCTCTTAAAACACAGCGCTTTTTTCTTCCCTTTAATTTATTTAGAACTGTGCCCATCAACTTGATTTTAGGATTCAGATGTTAATATATTCCAGATTAATAGTGGTTACAAAGAGTGACACAGTGGTCCTGTGAAAGTCAGCGTCCTAAGAAAGCTCCCATTGACTTCAGGCAGGCATCATTTCACTCTTTGGTTCATGACACGTGAATATGAATAACATTTGCTTATTTCCTAAAGTGATGAAAGTGCTTTGACTGTGTTTATTTCCTGAAAAGATTAAAATGAGGTGCTAAGAGGTGGAGCCAGACTGTCCCCCTGGCCTGTCTCCCAGCTGAGCAGGGCAGAACAGTGGGCCCCTGAGCCCAACCCATGCTCTTTAGTGTCTGTCCTTCAGGAGGTGGATTGGGGTGGTACAGCTCTCTATGCGTCTTGGGTGGCTCAGTCTGAAGGTTTTTGTAAATGCACTGTTTGCATAAGTTTGGAGAAGGGTGAGCATCAAACAAATTATTTTCAAAGGAACTGTTGTCTTTGGGCTTGGGAAGATCGGTGGTGTCGTTGGACAAGAGACTTTTGTATCTGCAGTGGAGGTGGCAAATTGGATGTGGGCCAGGATACCAAGGCTTTGTTTAATTTGAAGCTTGGATGCACTCTGTGTGCCTGCCAGGGATCCATGAGAGCACATCCCAGCCTTCTGCCAGCTCAGGCACTTTGGGCTGCTGGGTTGAGGGAGAACACCACAGCCCAGCCCAGCCCATTCAGGGTTGGGACCGGGTACTCCCATGGACCAGGAGGTGAGAAGTGATCCCAGGTTCCCCTGGTTGGTGTCACCTGAGGAACAGCAAGGCTTAGCCAAAATCCTTTGAAAATGCATAATCAAGATCTGTTTGACCTCCTTAAGTACCACAGCTGTTAGCAAAAGAAAGCAATTAAATGCTTTAAGGATAGTTGGGTATTATTTTTTTCCAAATACGCAAAAAGAGGAATTGGAAGTGATGGAAAAAAAACGATGGCAAGCCACGAGAGAGAAACGGGAGGAAAACATTGTCCTGTGGCTTAAAGGAACATATGCCACATCACCATGGTTTTCAAATGCAAAAACAGAGTCACAAATTAAAGTCACAGCTTCCAAAATGCATACCCACAGAGTTTTGCCTGTGGAAATCTTGCATCTCTTTGAAACTCCCATTTCAAAGCATAACGGAGTCTACCGATATGTGTTGTGACTTGCTCTGAGGACATCTGTCCCTCCCAATGATGTGTGGTGGCTATTTACACCTTCCCGGTGTCTCAGGGGCACTAACGGAGATGGCATGGCTTGGTGCTGGCACAAGTAATGGTATCGGCATAATAATTTAGGAAAACAGATTATTCGTAACAGCTATATTTTGGGGCTTTGATGGCGAGTGTAACCTGGGAGTCCTGACTGAACTGGAAGTACCAAATGTGTCAGCAGCAGACCGCCCGTGTGTTAAGGTACTGCAGGGTTGGCACAGCCAGTGCTGTGTGTCCTCCCTCTGCCAGCGCAGAGCGGGATGTCTGTCTGTCTGTCTGTTGGAGGAGAGCTGATGGGGCTTCACGTGTAATCGTACTTGCTTGACACGATTAGGCAGCAGAATGCAAATGCTCTATTAATGGCTTTATTATTGCAATCCTGCCTGCTCTTGAAAGAGCGCGTTTGAAGTACCACTTCACATCACGTGCGTTTGTGTCACTGCATATGAGATCTCTGTTTTGTCCTCACACGTTTCCTCGGCTAGATTTTAGTTCACGTGACATCCTGCCACTGCCTAAATCCTGCTGGTTTTCTTACACAGAAATCACATCAGGTAAATGCCACAGGATGTTTTGACCACCAAAATGGTAAATTCCTGGTGTTAAGCCTCTACTGCAATTCACCGGTGGGCTTTGCTGGTTCGGAGAGATCTGAGGTTTAGCAGATTTTACTGCAGAGCATTGAGAGGTCCCTGAGAACAACGAGCAGGGATTTCTAAGCTCATGGTCTGGCCCAGGCAAAGGATCTTAAATCCCTAAACCCACTTGTTTTGCTGTGCGTGCTCTGGTTGCCCAGCCATGCTCACGAAGGGGTGCAGGCAGCACCTGCACTGTCACCTCTCAGCCTCTCCCAACCTCATCTTCCTCTCCAAAAGTCTAAAGAGCAGGAACTGGCAGCCACACAGCTCTTAATAAACTTATTAATGAGTAAGTTTTCCCTCCCTCAACACTGCCCAGTGAGACGTCTCCTCCCCAGGCTGCAGCCAGCTCTGGCAAAGTTTAGTGCTTTGTTCTGTCTCGGTTTCACCTCCCCTCTGCGACGAGAGAAACTCTGATCGCTCCTAAACCACACGTTTCCTGCTTCAGCTAATCATCTCCTGCAGACAGCAGCCTGTTTTGTCAGACGACATAGGCAAGAGCGTGTTGGGTTTTTTTTCCTTCCCCCCCTGTGGAGCAGGGAAACTAATAAATACTCCCTGTCTCTGCATCCATCTCCCGGCTGTCTTTGGGGAACACAAAGGCTTCGTGGGGCCTAAAGAAGGATTGTTATCCTCCCTGGTGTGTGTGGGGAAACAGGTGCAGGAGTCATTAACTCGCCCAAGGTGATGAGCTGGCCGGGGCAGGACGGTGGCTTCGCACCAGGCTCGGTGTGCGGCCACGTCCCCCCCTGCTTGCCGGTGCTGAGCACGGCTTCTGCTCAATGGGGGCTTCTCTCTTTGCTCTCATGCACACCAGTTAACCTTAATGAGCATGGCACTGGCACAGTCTAGGAAACTTAGCCTCTATATGCACTTCATACTGTATATAGATAGCTACATATATAGTTAGGTCAAATACCACGGCCCCAGCCTGCAGAAGCCGTTAGCCCCTATCAAGTGACTGCGGTGCACTGTGACCTTTCAGAGACCTTTCTGCAGGCCCAGCAAGAGCTGGAAACATCGCACACCTCCTGTGCTCCCCCCTGAAAGGCTGCAGGGTGCGAGGTGGCCCCACTCGCCTGTGCTAGGAGATTGTTGTACCAAGTGTTATCGCTCTTGGTATTTCAGCCCTGCCGTAGTAGTCCTGATAACTTTTGCACTTTCTCTTGTGTTATTGGGCACAGACCATGAAAAAGAATTAGTGCTTAATAATATGTGGGAAAAATCTTACTAATCAAACTGTTGCCCTTCCTTTCCTCTTCCCCTGCATGAAACATGGTGCTCATACTGGTTCATGCTGTTGTTGCCTCACCACTCCCAACTTGTTGCCCTCTCTCCTTTCTTCTCTTTCATGTTTTTTTGCACTTTTGTAGCCTATTTTACTCTCTCCTCTCTGCTAAACCTATCCACGTTTATAAAAACCCACAGTTAAAATGGGTTTCTGACTCGTGCTGTTCCTGGGTGGTTTTCTTTAGTGAGTGATCTTCTTTTCATTTGATGTGAAGGCAATTTTCTGATGGGGCACCAGTTTTGTTTCCTGACTGGGATCTCAATGTCCCTGCCCCCCACCTCCAAAGTGTTGCAAATAATGCCTCTTTATTGTCGTGACCACAACTTGTGCAGTTGTAATCTGCTATTTTAAAATGAAACTATAAATTATTAAACCTGTGGCTGATTTTTTTTTGGGGGGGGGGGGAGAGTTGGGAGGAAGGCTGCTGATTTACAGTTATTTTAATGGTGAGAACTGAATGGTTCCACAGCAGCAAGGCCAAGGAGACTTTGGTGTGTGGAAGAAGAAATTTTAGGTGCACTGTATTTTTTTTCAGGGCAGAGCATTGTGCTTCATACAAAGCAACAGAGAACACAGTATCTTCAAATCAGCTTCTGCAGACAAAACGGATTCAAAATAAATAGCTTTTATTCATTACTGTAATAGAACAGTTGATGCATTCATTTGTTTAAACCTAAAAATCTGCTGAAGTGCTATATCTCAGTGCGCTGCTTCTAACAGCTTGATTATCCAGCACCTTTTAAAAATGTTTATCAAGCTTTTGGCTGCATTTTTCTCTCTACAGAGATACCATGGTTCTGGTGAATATACAGCCGTGTTTGATTAGGAGATGTGTTAGAGATAAGTCACTTGCAGGGAAAAAAGCATTTATAGGTTTTGTGTATAAAAATGGAATTCATAGAACATGAAATTTCATTCTTTTATGGTAGATGGCTTAGAAGGATATGTTAGAAGAAAAGGTAAATGAGTGCTGGTTTTAAGTTTGCACCTTCTGAAACACAGAAGGATGCAGTACATACGGTCCTGGTGAATGATGTGTGACAGATTATAGCGAGAGAAGCCTGAGCAAATGAAATTGTAATGGAGTTCCTCTTCTGGCTGCAGAAAATAGCTGTTATTTATCCTGTTTCCTAAGATGCTGCATGCATACTACTGTTTATTATATACTTTAAAATCCCTTGGCAAGTCAATAATGAATAAATGAACTTAAAGCTATTAGAGCACCCTAGCATAAGGAGCGTAAGCCAGGGTGTTTTTCAGTGTGCTCTTTCCTGGGTTTGGCTGAGGTGTTTCTGCGGAGAAGCCAACCTGGGTAGTTCAAATGAACAGTTTTGCTTCTGTCTCCTGGCAGGTGTACGAGGCAGTCCCATGCTACAGCGAGTGCAATCAGTATTCGTGGGTAGTAGAGCCGTGGTCTCCGTGCAAAATCAGCAGCGAGCAAAATTCCCTCCACTGTGGAGAAGGAATACAAACGAGGAGAGTCAGGTGCGTGAAGACAAAAGCACAGGTACTCCAGATTAAAAAGAGCTGGTACATATTTGCATAAAGCTGAAATATGTCGCTGTCTGACAGTGAGTACGTTGATGAGTCCAGTGCATTTCAAATGAAAAGAAACATGCATTTATGTGCAATGGTTTGCAGGAAAAGCATCTCAGAGATGCAGCCTTGTGTTCCGATCAAGACATCTCTCAGGAAGAAGGCCTGATGTTTAAATTAGAATTCTTCAACCTAAATGCCATATGTACATAACGGCCCCTGAGGTGCAAAACCTCCATATTCTGATTTGCTAACATTTTCCCCAAGTCATGGCACGGCACGCACCAGAGTGGTGTTCATTATTAGTAGGTATTCGTTCCCCAGGCATGGGGAAGCGCTGATTTATTTCCACATGTTTGGATGTTACTAGCAGGAGCACCAGGGTTTGTTCTTGCTGGTTGTCATTTTCTGTTCGCTCATCTGTCAGCTGATCAAAGTTAAAATCCCTCTGTGTGAAGTTTGAAATGTTTATTTAAAGTAGTCGTTGAAATCTGTGAATAACAAAAGCATGTCGTGTGTGTAGCTGGTTTTGATTTGCATTAACACGATTAATTCTACATTTTAACCGGCCGTGCTGCGTACAGTTACTGTATCGTGTCCTGTATGGGGTCAAGCAGACCTGTTGATAACCATCACTTCTGTAGTAGGCTAATGATCTTCTAATGAAATGCCTGTTTTCTCTGTAGGTGTGTGAGTACGGCTGAGGACCACAGCGAGGAGACCGTGCCCGACGCACTGTGCAATCAGGCTGAAATCCCAGATGTAACGCAGAAGTGCAGCTTGTACTGCCCCAGTGAGTGTGCGGTGTCTGACTGGGGACAGTGGAGCAAGTGTCCGCAGGTAGGCTCTCCTGCTCGTGTCTCTGTGGCCGTGTTCCTCACACATCGGTCTTCTCTGCCCTTCAACAATTTCACGAGATAATTATTTTCTAACAAAGTACATTATTTTCTGAGGGAAGTCAGGCTTAATGGATCCTGTCAGCGTGGTTGAATCTGGAGATTTTTGTATTTCTACAGAGCCTGAGCTATGGAAAATTAGTAGAACACATAGTTATTACTGTGGCAGTTGAGTCAACTCATCCTTCCCCTTGGTCTGTGAGAGAGGACCCACGTAAGTACAGCAGGTGAAGGGATCAGTATTTCAGCTGCATTAAGGGCTGGTTGCGTTAGGAAATATTTCCAGGGGAGAGCTCTGTGAGTGATGCACGACTGCCATAACAACCTGCTGGTAAACCATGGTGGTGGCCCTCCTCAAGGCAGGTCGTGGGCCTGAGGGAATGGCAGCTCTCCCTTCCCAGCAGACACTGTTTCTGTCCAGCATCTTCTCCTCCTCCTCCTCAAAACCTTGCAGGAAGATTTGAGGCAGCAGCAGCAGAATGGTGTGGCAGTGAGATGCCCGAACAATGCATCATGTCACAAACTACTCAAAACTTTGTGAATTATGCAGGGATTCAAGCCACCGCCAGGTGCTCTGTGTTTTCCTAAGTGTGCAAGATGGAAAGAGGCTGCAGATTCTGTCTTGTGAAAACTCTCTGGCCTCCGAGCGTGTAATTTCAAACCCATTGTTTCCCCCTGATCCGTGTTGAAACAGGTGCCAGGTTTAATCTCAGGGGTTTTGTAATAGACTTGCTTGATGTATTTAAGTGACAAACATATATTCATTGCCCCTGTGTTAACAGGGCCATTATCAAAAGTCTGAGTGGTTATTGGACAGGTATTTATACTACTGCTGACACAGGTAATTTCCTTCCATAATATTTTGTGTACCATATCAATATACTCCGTAAGAACATGTCAAATAAAATCTTGTGTTTCATTTCCTGCATTCGCCTCCTCCTGAGCAGCACAGCTTTGATGAAGTATAACACTCTTGCAGCCGATACAGATGCTTGGATGCCTTTCCAAGTCCCACTGTGGTTGGGCTGTTTCTTTGGCATTGAGTTTTTATTTTAAGAGATAAATTTTCTTCATTTTAGCATGCAGTAAACTAATGCAGAGATGCTCAAGGCCATTCAGTATTTTTCAGGTGGCAGTCAGTTGGTCACGAAGGACTGCTTGAAGCTGTAAGCACCCTGGTATCCTTAAGACAGCCTGAGTTTTTGCCTGAAGGCTCCTTTTTTGGGAATGGTGAAGCCTCTGTAGCTCACAGAAACAGGGAAGGGATGCCCAGAGCTCGTGGGCTGCACTCCACCAGGCAGCATCGCTCTTGGCAGTCAGCGAGTGCCACAGTCCCCATGTCTCCTTGTGCATCCTTTTGCCACGATAGATGTTAATTCATAAATGTGAGGGCATCTGCATGCCAATGCAATTAACTGAGCAATATGTTTTCACAAGCTGTTTTGCAACTCTTTGTTGTGAAACTGAGATGACTGTGTGTGGATGGAGCATGTGTTTAAACAGTGCTGTCCAGATACGAGGCTATAAACAGCTTGAAGTTTTATGGACAGATAAAACCCTCCCTTTGAAGAGTTTACAGCAGCTCTATCTCCTTTTTATAGCTACTCAGGTTATTTGTGTTCCTTTGGTTTAGAGAAAGGACAACACAGCACAGTCCCTCCCAGGTTGCAAATGCTGAACATCTCCAAGGCAAGGGCTGAAAGTGCAGAATGGCTGCACCGTCATGGTGGTGTGTCTTCAGTATGTGTGGGGGTATCGGTGTGATGGGGCTGGGATTGAGGGAAGCATGGTGGCCAGGAGGGAGGGGTAATTGATGCAGCCCTCCATCTCCTGAGTCACCAGTAGGAAAAGTGGTCACTGAGGATGGCCACAAGCTGGTGGACACAGTCAATGGAGCTACAAAGGCGATGGAGCCTGCAGGGGATCCCATTTCGTCTTTAAGGGAAGAGCAATGTCCGGTCAGTTGAGGAGCTCCACTGGTTGCGAGTGAGAGCTTGGGTCTGGTCCTTGCGTGGAGACCCTACGTATGGACACCCAAATACAGGAGTCTGCCTCTGGAGCTGAATCTCTTGTTAAGTCTTTTGGTCAGACTTGTGCCTCCAGCTGGCTTGAATTGTCTTCCCACACAGCCCAAAAACGTATCAGTAAGTTTGTGTGCGTAAAACATGTTGCTCACGAGGACTGTCTATATAATTGTATTTGAGGGTATTTTACACAATAGCTGGAACACTCATGCGTGGTTTCTGATTTATGCCAAACTGGTAGCAAATGGCTGTCTTTCAAGGATGTATAAAATGCTTTTTTGAATATTCACCAAAAAAAATTGTCTAAGTATGGCTTCTTTCTCTTCCCCAAGTAATCAAAAAAATTTGAAAGATCACGTCATGTTGAAATGAAAAAGCCAAACCTGGCTGCTCCTTTTCGAGCACATTTACATTCATATCGAACTAGCTGGCACTCTTTTAGTCGTAGCGCTCTTGTGAGGCAGCTGCCAAAGAGCATTCTGGGAAGTCTCCCTGTATCTCTGGCCATGTTTGGCTTGCTGGAGATAAAGAGGATTTATAAAACTTGACAAATTCCAGTTTGTAAGAAATGAGCAACCACAATTTCAGCCTCATCTTTGCCTGAGTAGCTCTTTGATCTGAGATATTTACCTAAGATCTTGGTCAGGGGAGAATGCCTTTCCCGTCGCTTTGGTGTTCTGCTCATATTTTGTAGAGTTGATAATAAATTTATCTTGATAGCGGAATAACCAACTCTTATCAGCTGAATATAAAAAGGCCTTTTAGATTATCCAGTTTACCTTTTGTCAATATGTCATTGTACTCTGGATACTTGCTGGGGTATTACTTGGTTTTATCTTGCAGCAATACTCTTCCCATGTGAATTTGCCACTTTCAGGATAGTAAATGATCTTGAATCATGTTGAAATCAATAAGTCATAAAGGTGGCGACTGCTTTGTCAAGAGGAAGTATTTTCTTCAATACTTCTTTCTGCTAAAACATTGTATGTCTTTTACCTTTTTTGGCTGCGTTTCCCTTTCGCTTTTAAATATTTGTGTTTCTAGAGTGGTCTTTTGTAATTTCAGATGCTCCCACATTACTTCTATGGGTATTTTTCAACCGAATTGCCATTTTTGTGTCTTGATTATGGTGCTATTTAACACTGTCCCACAAAGCTAAATTTTAATATTTAATATTTAATATCCCTCACTTTGCTGTGACCCAGAAAACGCAGCCATCTGAAATGTAATACTTTGAGGTTACTTTTGAGGTTTTGTCTCTTTACTGGATTCAAGAAACTCGTAATTACTGATTTAAAGCTTCCCTGTTATTCACACATCCTCTATTGTGAGAAGTAAGTTCAAATGGTTTTCCCTCTGATTGAAGACTATTTTTTGGCTCATAAAGTTTTCTTCTTTGTCGCTAAGTAACATCTACATAACTTAAATATCAAGGCTTTAAAGCCATTTAAAATAACAGTTTGAAGCTAGCTAGTTAGGAAAAAAAAATCATGAGCAAATTAGATTGACTTGCATTTTGCTTTGGAGATTTCGTATTCGTTCCAGCTACAATAGCGTGTTCAGTCAGACATCATCACTTGATTGCTCAAAGACCCAGCTAAACAATCTGGAAACCAAAATCCTATCATTTCTGTTACATATTCAGTGATCGAATAACATGCACTACCTGCGGTGTCTCGACTTTGTATTCATCTGACTTGGAAATGTAATTAATTGACTTCAGTTGAATTCATCAAAGCGTTCTTAAAAAGAGTTAATATGCGAGTTGTGCTACAAGTCCCTGAAATAATTACCTCAAATTTATTTTGTTAGCTCTCTGCTGCCATGCGGATGGCTGTCGCAGCCCCCGTAGCTGATCCGAGTGGCCTCCTTGTTTGCCTCAGCTGTTGGCATTTCTAGCAGCTAATTCGCAGAGGTCTGAAATTAGTTAATTATAGGAGGTTACAAGCCTAGTGAGTAAGAACAGCTGTCTCTGTTTCAGCGAGCATTTTCCTCATGGATCAATAGCGATGTGCAGCGCTTGGGACTTGCGACAATTGAGTTATTACTCTCTTGAATCTGCGGGGGGGGTGTAGTATCGCAATAGCTGATCGTATTAAAAGTGGCACCAGGCAATGCACCTCACTCTCAGGTTTTGCAGTGACTTTCATCATTGATGCAAACCAGAGTCATTATTTTCTGGAAATGCTTCCCCCCCCAAGCCAACTGGAAGAGAAATTGCGGACTCTTGTAGATGTTGGGACTCACTGAGGTTCTCACCACGACCTGTACCTTTATACACAGGTTTGGCGGAGGACCTGTGGTGTGAAGGCTGGGTTGAAGGCAGAGTTGTATTTCTAGCCCAGGAGATAAGTTTATGCGGGTCAAGCATGAGAATTACACTGGTCAAGGCTTTTCTGGAACAATGTACACTGCTCCTCATGCATAGCTGTGACTTCATTTTTTTGTATAGCTTCATCAAAAAGTTGGTAACTGCAGTATTTTTATGGAGTCGTCATTTTATTTTTATTCAACTTGGTTTAAACAGTCATTTTTAAATTGAGGCAGATAAGGTTTCAGAACTTAGATGCATCTCAAAAAGAAAATTTATGCAAATACATTTTCATTTCAAAAGGCTGTTCCTGTTATTGTAAATGGCTTGTTAAATTGTTACAAAACATCCACATTGGCGTGAACAATGTAATGGTTCATTGCACTGTTAAAAATAGTCAAACCCTGTTGCTGCCAACGCATTTCCCTTAGTTTGAGGTTGTATGTTTCCTTCTGAATAGCCAGTTAAATACAATGTGGCCAGCTATTTATAGTGCAGTGTGCTTTATACAAGCTCTTTGAGAAATTAAACAGCTCTTAAAGGGCTCTCTAATGGGTTACAACCTTTGTGCTGTACAATTATGATGCATACGAAAGCCTAGATCAATGG